GCGACTTTGCAAGAGGCTGGTTGCACCTTCATACCGCTTTGAAAAGGAATAAGTAGATTCCATCTAGTGCTGTGCATATTCACAGATCCACTCTTGCCTAGAATAGCCCGACTAAGGTTTAAGAGCACACTAAAAAATTATTAGGGACTCTCAATTCATCATTGGGTCAGGCTTAGACAACCACATCAAAATTACCTGATTTCCGAGTTTAGATATTCCGCGTTTTACACAAATCTGTCTTATTCACATTTCGCATTATCATGCCAATCATCCCAAATGCACTTGCGATTTTCCTTGCCCAAATTTTTGTTGCTTCTTCTCGAAACGAAGTGCTACGATTTCACATTTTGTGAATAGTTAGTGGTGCCTCCTCTGCGATCAAGTTTATCTCCCTAAACATCCTCATTGACATCTGAATGAGATGACTGCTGACGCATGCACTTGAGATGCCCGGCTCTGTTCAGCCAATCAAAACGCGTCTCTTCTGGTACCTACGCCTACCTTTCATCTGCTCTTAGGTGGCTTCACTCCATTTGGGTGTGGCGGTGGCGCCATGGAAAAAAGCAAAGTACTTGTGGTGTGAGAATGAATTCTATCACCTCCTGCCTCCAAGTCACATTTTCCTCGCTGTCTTCGGCGGTATCATTACAGCTCTTGTTACCACGATCCACGTTGTGTCAATCACATAGGACATGATAGCGAGGAGTCGATTTGCACTGTCGGGTGTTTGATTCTTTCCAGTAGTGCTATCACCTGAAACCGACATGGTACTCGCTACTGCTCAACAGCCCTTGGGGCGGTGCTGAGAAGTGCACAGCAGAATCCAGTGTCTCAATTCTACTACTGGTCAACTAACTTGAATAAAGATTACTTCCAGTAGCTTGTGCAGCTACCAGCGGTACATGATATAGCATTTCAATTACTGCAGTTCTGATGGTGTGTGTGTTAGGCATCCAGTAATGGGTGAGCATTCGTGGTGTAGACCTCGCAACTCGTATTCATCCAGAA